GAGAAAGACACTTAAACTGTCTCGTTGGTTTTGAGTCTTTCCTCCTCTGCCGGCGTCGGGATGCCGTTAGTGTGCTCCTGCTTCTTGTCTTTGATTAGGAAGGGAAGCCCCTTGGTCTTCACCATCAGGCCGAAGTCGATGGAAAACGCCACAGTCGCCAAGAAGCCAAAGACCTGGACGACAGAGAAGAAGAAGAGCGCTGCTGTAGGTGACCTGATAACACACTAGGGCTGCCACGATTGGTCGACTAGTCACGATTACGTCGACTATCAAAATCGTCGACGACTGATTTAATAGTCGACGCGTCGTTTGAAGCTTTGTAAGATCACAAAAGACGCAGGAATAAGTAGCAGGATTTAAGAGTGTAATAACGGACTGAAACAGAAGATGGCAGCACTGCATGTACAAGGATGCCAGCTGCTGTTAAACCCCGAAGAAGAAGAAGAAGCAGTGTCCCAGAATTCATAGCGCGGCCCAGCTCAGTTTCCAACAATGGCGGCAGCTAGTTAGTTTTAATATTACTCTTATTATTCTTTCTGGGTCACAAAATAAACGTTTAACATATTTTCAGGCGAGAATGTAGCTGTGTAAACCTCAAATATCTGCTCAGTTTATCAGGACACCACATATTTTCAAAAGCGCTCCGACGTTTTCGGAGACGTCTGTTACCCACTAGCTCGATAGCTAGCCGGGGGCTAGGTCACTAGCGCCGTGAGAACACCGGACTCCCGGCAAATCGTTTTCAAACCCACCGCCGTCTTTCGCTACTCAGGTTAAACATGATATATGAGTCACTTAGATAACTTAAAATGTTATTGTTTGGCTTTTTAGTATTTTATTTGTTCCTGAGTAAATCGGTTTGGCTGAGATTAAAGTTATAGTTTTTACACAGCTGAATAAACGTCAAGCAGACAGCTGATTATCAGAAGTGTGAGATGCTCCAGAGTTTGTGTCCTGTTATATTTTAGATAGCAAGGAGTTTATTAAACTTCACCGAAACAATCTGCAAATTTCATTAAAATTGAATAAACTATCATCTTGTCTTTATTTTTAGTTAGCACCTTAAAAGCTTAAAGCTGTAAGCTAATGATAGTTATATAAGAGCAGATGCTGCTGGTGCAATAAGCTGTAGTTTTACGTCCAATGGATGATGATCTGATTAGTCGACTAAATCAAGATAATGGTTTGTGGCAGCCCTATAACACACACTGTCAGCCAGGAAGGAAAGGAAAGGAGGAGATATAGAAAGAAAGGAAAAGGAAGATTCAGGAGGTAGGAAAGGAGGGTAGTGTGAGTCCGAGGACGTTTTCTCACCACAGCAACGGTCGCCTGAACCAAAGAGCCGCCGTCTGCAGCGAAGACGCAGGAGGAGATGAAGAGCAGCACAGCGATGACCCCGGTGTAAATCAAGTCCTGTAAAAGAGAAGAAGAAGAAGAAGGTGAGACGAGCGCCTCCAACAGTCTCCGAGTCGCCGTCCTCAATCTGACCGGATTAGTGATGGTAAATTTGATTCTTTTTACTGAATCGAGTTTTAATGAGTCACTCACCAAAGTGAATCGGGTTTTTTGAGTCATTTGATTCACTGAGTCAGTCGACCAGAGAGTGCAAAAAATGTACATTTTCACTCAAACTTAATTTGTTTCTCTTTTCATGTAAATCCACTGCTAAGATGAATGATTCTAAAAGAAAACTATTTTATAGAGCAAAAAAGAGCAAAAACATTTCTAAAATTAAGCAATTTCCTATCAAAATTGCTTAATAAACATTTATTTTGTTTATTTTTATTTTATTAGTATTTTCCTTAAATGTGTTAAATATATATTTTCTCATCTAAATGTCCACTGAGCTGTGAGCCAGGGGGCGGTAATGCGCCTTAACATTGGTTGCCAACCAAGAAGAAGAAGAAGCTGTGAGCCAGGAGGGAGGGGGTGAGTGAGTCCTGAGTAGGGATGGGTATCGTTTAGGTTTTATCCGATACCGGTGCCAAACCGGTGCTTAAAGAATGGAAAAAACACAAACTTTGTCCAAAAACCTCTCATGTTTAGCTGTTTCCACTTTTTCTTTGGTCATTTTAGCCTTTTTGGCCAGGGTGAAGGGAGTATCTGCCATCAAACAAGAAGACAGCCGCATGTAGCTATGATGATGTTTGCTAGTTCACCTTACATGCATTAATGTAATAACGTGGTTAGCCTACTCAACGTAAATTACACACGAACAACATTAAGCTACTCACGCAGAGAAGAACGGCTGCTGCTGCATCATCATCCTCATCATTTCTGCTACACTGGCAGGGCTAGGGGCCAGGACTCTCCTCTTCGGGTTTTTGGGGGATGTTGCTAACTCCGGGTCCGATAACAGGCACCACACCCGCAGTAGATGTGCTCGGTGTGAGGTCTCGCAGCAAGCTATCAAATACGGCGCATTTCTCGGCTTTTAAAAAAAACGCTATGCGTCGCCAGGTGTTTCATCGGATTCTTGGTGTTACCTCCTTTGACAGTATCACAGTATCAGCTTAAAGCACTTGTTGCTGCTGAGTTTGCATCTTTTGCTGTGAAGTACAGCCAGACTTTGACCGCTTCGCCTTGGACATTTTTAATCTGTAGCTCTGCTCTAAAAGAACGTACGTACCTGGGCCCGCCTACTATCCTCGGAAACGTAAAATGATTGGCTAGAATCTAAAGTGTATCACAGCTCAGGAAAAAAAAAGCACCGAAATGTGCGCTGCTTTTCGGTCTGGTTACTACCGTTTATGTCAGAACCGATACCGGTACCCATCCCTAGTCCTGAGTGATTCGCTTATGATTCAGCACAGGAGGGAGGGGGCGAGTAGCTCAAATGTGCTGTTAGCATGTTAGCAGAGCGATGCTACTGTGAACCGAGGAGCTATTTTCTTGATGTGAGCTTCTACTCAGGGTTTTTTCTTCCAGTTCAGAGCAGAAATTTTTTGTTACGATACTGGATGTTGTGTTTTCCCCCACAATTTTAATTATAAGCTAGATACATTGCTGCTAACAGCAACAGGGATGAGTCAGTGAGTCAGTTGGGCTTGTGACTCATGATTCACGAGTCAGTAAAGTGATTCTCGAGTATTGAACGATTCGTTCTTGATTCGCGCATCACTAGACCGGATCAACAAAACAATAAAAGTGGACTTTTCTCAAACTGGAGGCGCTGCAGCGTGACGTAAAACAGCCACACGCTTCATTTTGAGCCTTGAGTCTGGATTTTTTCAGCATGCTGAACCCTCGACTCACTGTTCACGGCCTCACTATACTTAATAATAAAGCTCTGTTTGCAATACTTCACGTGACATATTTTCATGGAGACAATCCTGCTGAACATCCACACGTTGGTTTATGAAAGTCCAAGTTCATATTCAGAGCTACAATCCAACAAGTCTCGGAATAAACGTGTGTTAAAATGTTTTGCTGCTTTGATCCATCAGTTCTACGGCGTTATCTTTGTGCCACTATTCTGAGCGCACGTAAACAAAGTTTGCAGGTGCAAGTGTTGCATTTTGAGTGAAGAAAAGCTGAATTTGAGTGAACAAACTTCATTGCTGTGTGCAAAAAATGTATTTTAGTGTTTGCTATTATCCCCACACACACGCACACACACACACACACACACTCCGGACTCTGACTGGAGGCTACAAGTGCAGTTCAGTCTGCAGACTGTAGGTGGCAGCATCACACAGTTATATGACAGCTGCTTTTACTGGTTTTCAGCCACAGAGTGTGTGTGTGTGTGTGTGTGTGTGTGTGTGTGTGTGTGTGTGTGTAAAAGCAGCTTTTTACAGTCCAAGAATCTTCATCTCTTCTCTTTGATTGTTTCCAGCCTCACAGTTTCACTCTGGGACGTCTTTAAAGTCGTAGCTTCGATAAAACCAAGTTCAGACTTCAGACTTTGTGGGACTTGTTGCGGGTGTGAGGCGTGTCTGCAGACACGGTGCGGTGCACGCTTTGAGTTTGGGGCCGTATCTCGTTTTAATTCATCGTTTAGCGGGAACGAATAAGTCCATCATTCTGAGGCTAACGAGGCTCGACCGCTCGTACTCGTATTTAAACGCACCACAGCTGGCGGGCACTCGCTGTGGTACCGGAGTGAAAGGTGATGTTCACAAACGTTCCCGATCACTGAGATTCAAACTCATCAAACACACAGTAGATGCGTCTGTGGAGCGACCGTGACAATCTTACATTACCACGTTCTCACGTTGTCACAGTCGCTGCCTGACAGCAGGGCGACGCCATCAGCCTTTTAGGCCTGAGTGCTAAACAGGAAGCCGACGCTGATGGCGAGGCGGTGGCTAAAATGCTTGCATCAAGATGTGAAGCCTGAAACCTTTGGGTGACATCATGGCGGCTGCGCCAGAGTGCGATCTCAAGTTCAGCCTCAGCGCTTCTCTCATATCGACGTTTTTTCAGCTCCTCTGTTCTTTTGTTCAGCTTCATTTAAACGACAAAGACCACACAGAGAAAACAGACACACTCGGACCGCCATTACAGTTCTTCCTGATTGGCTGCCCCTCATAAGCAGCAGGGATAAAACAGATGGGAACAGGTCACCTCTGATCACTGACTGTGGAAGCGTGGGCTTCAAATGCCTCTCATCACGCTTCCCTGTGACAACGTGCTCTTATTGTGAAAGTTCAGCTGCTGTTCCTGTCTGGTGTTTCTTTGTGGGCAGACTCGTCATGTTGAGGTTTCTCTTTAATGGCTACGATGAAGAAGAACTCTGTGGCTCGTCAGCCGTCTGAGCAGACACTGGTGTTATGAGAGCACCGCGCTGCGGTCGGTGTCCTCTTCCTGTTTCCACACACCAAGGTGGAGCTGAGGCCTCCGGTGGAAAGAGAGCGCCGCTGAAAATCAGTGCAGCGGAAAGGCTCGGCCTTCAGCTTCCGGCTTCCTGTCCACGCTCACCTGCACGACTTTGGAACTTTTCCTCTGAAAAGCAGAGGAAGCAGCGCCTCTGGCAGCAGAGTTAAGGCTGACACCAAAACAATGAAGCTGCGCCGCCATTTCTCAAAGGTCGGCCTTTACACGGCTTTTTTCCATGTGGACGTGAAAATGAGGGAACGCTTTAATTACTTTAATCTGAAGTTATTTATGAGCATCTTTATTTAGGTGGCTCATTTCCACGTGAATGATTTAACAGGGAGGTTTCGTTTGACTGGCCAACTTTAAATCTCATCTCTATGAAAAACAAATAAGGTGGGGGCGGCCTGGTTTGTGCTCAGCCAATCAGAGAGGCAGAGGGCGAGGGCTCGATTGAAGCTGGAACCCTCATTAGCTTTGAGAACAGCTGTCGAACTCGCAGCTCCACATGCAAACATTTCCACCCTGCTGAGTCTGAATTTGCAAAAGGAAAATCGTCCGCTTCTCGTTTTCGAGTTTCACTGCACCCACGCTGTAAGATGAAAGACTGCGAGCTGGAAGTGTCATCAGGGAGAGACTAAAATAAACCGTCTGTTTTCATTTTGGTGCGAGACGACAGCGAAGCTCGCAGGAGGAGAGCCGGGACAAACGGCACCGCCACGCATCCTCCTCAGACTGATTTTACTCGAGTACTCACACGAGTACCCGACTCCCTCAGAGTTACTCTGACATCGCAGACAGAAAGCACGCTGCGCTGTCCGCGCGCTGATGCTGCAGCTCAGCGAACCAATGCAAAGACAGTTTTTATAGTCAAGGTTAAAAATAGTAAAAAGTTCCTCAAAACAATGCAAAATTAAATGTGTAAACTGAAGTCAAAGGACTGGATTATGAATAACACGGACCACGAGCATCATGTGTGGCCGGGTCAATGCCAGCTCAGCACTCTCTGGACAGCTCATGAACGAGTGCTGGGCCGACTCGGGTCACTTTGAACATGTATGTA